TCCACGGAGGGCCTCAGCAGCAAGGAACTTGACCTTGGCCCCTGGCTCATTGGGATCAACTAATCCGGTTGGGTGCACCTGAACCTTCTCCATATCGATAGCGCTGGCGCCGGCAGAGATGGCGATCTTGTGTCCATCACCAGTACAATGGTCACCGTTGGTGGTGGGAAGGTCCCAGAACTCTGGGCGGTATTTCTTCAACAGGGAATCCTCGGTGAAGTCTGCAGCGTAACCACCAGTGGCCAAGATGACAGGGCCATAAGCGATCTCAGTCTTTCCACCGAGGGTGTATTCAACACCAACGACGGCACCGCCATCCTTGATGAGTTTGGTGACGCGAGCCTTCTTCTTGATAATGACGCGCTCGGGGTTGCTAACCGCGAGGTCCTCAAGGCGCTCCATTTGAGCGTACGTAATGACCTACGCAAGCGCTCGGTATCAGCGACGAGAGTGAGACGATGAGGAGTATGAGTTTGGTTGCTCACCATGCCGGGGAATTGGGCATCACCACGGTGGGTTCGTGGTTGACTGTGACCACCGAGCCGAGAAACCTTGGAAAGGTCGAGGTTGAACTTGTGCTGCAGCCAGTTAACAGCATCTCCGGAACGGCCAGTCAAAACAGTGATAAGATCGTCGCGGGCGAGGTCACGAGCCTATAGGTGGAGTTAGCGATGAAGACACTCTGCATGAACGAGACACGCACAGATTTCTTGGTATCTTCGAAGAAGAGCCTGGCACTGTCCTGGATACCGAGGTCTTGTTGACTCTGGGTTCCAGAACCATTGATGCCAGATGTGGCCTTTGTTGAGTTACCACCCATAAATCTAGAGGGCGAAAAACGTGAAACAGTGTTTTCTAGGTGAGATGAATGACATACGGCTGTTTGTCGAGGAGGATGACATTAGCACCTCGCTCGAGAAGAGTGTGGGCGGCAGAGAGACCGGCGAGACCACCACCGACAACAATAACGCGAACCATTTGGGATAAAACTGGAGAGAAGGATGGTGGTTTGTGGGAAGAAGAGAGAGAGTTGGCTCGAGATCAGAGACTCAAGTACCCGCACCAATAACGGTCACGCGAATTCAATCTTCACGTGTTTTCTTGTCTCACCCATGAGGATGCCGGACCTTGATCTCACTATCCTGCCCGTTGTACGCGACCAGCCTCTTTTGAGGTACGAAGAGGGCTTCGGTAAGGACACAGGGAAGTAAGGAGGGGCAAGAGACACCAAAAATCCAAAGAAAAAAGGAGAAAAAGTCCAGATAATCCTCTTGCTAACTTGCTGACCCGACATTCGGAATGCACATCCCGACGGGGCGGGTCGGCCGAAATATCCGAACACAGCCACCCACCAGAACCGTGTTTATCTCGTCGGCCGGGACGGCGAAGAGCTCACCGGTCCACGTTAAGCACTAACTCATGTTCTGTTTGTCCAACTCTCTCATGTTCTTTTTAGCACCAGCATACCACCGTCAGCAGTCGCTGGATGAATCTACCTGGTCTCCGTTTCCCGCACGAACCCCACATAGTGAATGTATTTTGGGCACTGCTCGCTCAGGACTCAGGATCACAGGCATCATGATCCGACAGATGTCATTCAACGGGTGCATCAGTGCTAGTGGCCGCGTTCCCTGCCACCCTCCAAATCTCCAGAGCTGATTCATCAGATTCGACGTCCCTTGGGCCAGAGACTCTGAGCCGATCACTAGTTAGGAACCTCAATGCTCGATCAGCGTACCACCACCTCGTCAGCCGCTGGGGAAATCATGATCTAGCGCGGATTCCCGGGCCTTTCTCTAAATCACGAAGCATCCGTCTCCTGGTATATGATCATGAACTAGCCGTTCGTTGGCTGTTTAGTAAATCACCATACGGCCCTCCCGGCTCTGGTCTGTTTCAGGTTCTTATTTGTGTCAGCTCTTTGTTAGACTATTTGCGCGACCACAATTTACTTTGTTTCCCGAATGTTTCCATCCGCTGGAAGAAAAGGTCAGGTAGGAGACGAGTTCCAAAGTAAATCTCACCTATCACGGTGAGGTCGTCGGCAACGTCCGACCTCGAATATGTAATTCGTCACGATAAAGTCTCCGTCTGATACACATTCAACACCCCCATTCCTTGGGTTCAGATATCATGCCTATCCAATGCTCCTTCTGTGACAAAGTGCTCGCCAGGAGCGAGATGAAGGGCTGCGCTAGGTGCAAGTGAGTGAACCAAGACAGCGGACGCGTTCTCGTCATGATAATCATCTCTCCGTTCCTAGGGCAGTTATCTACTGCGTAAGTAAATACCGCCCCTCACCGCCTCTGGAACGCCAACCAACACACCACAACACCAGTCTAAAGAATGCCAAAAAGGGTCCTGGAGGAAGAACCACAAGGAAATCTGCGCCAAGATCTCCAACCCCCAGGACGCCGCCGACGAACTCAATCATTGGTTCACGATGTGGTCACCGTCCTTCGTGTATGCTACAACGTGGGCGCTGGATCTCAAGAACAACCCAGGACACAACATGAAGCACGCGTATGTAATCAGCTGGCATTAAAACAGACCTTGACGCCAGATCCTGACCCGTTCATCATTCAAGCTTGATGCTCTTCGTGGAGAAGACAGATTCAACTGATCCCGCTCACCGCTACAGGGTAAGATTCACATCTCGATGGTGGTTGCAATACGCTGACCGAGGTTATTGCCCACCAGATAATCGGACAGTGGTTCGTACCAATGTCGACGCACAAACAGGTGAAACGCATAGCACCGGAGCACTTCGTTATCACCGTTCAAGAACCTTCTACCTTGGCCGAATCGCACCTCATGTGGAACAACCGTGCATGGAGCCTGTTGCCCTCTATGCTATCTAAACCCGGTTCAGCCTTGCTCGGGAAACTCGCGGTTCCTATCCTTCGCCATCTCACCGAGACCGTTAGCCATATCGATGCGATGACGATGTGGGACCATAATGTATGGTTGAATCGTCCTCACCCATTGATCCAACCGGAGGAGATGGCAGTTTTGCCCGAAGAACTTGCTCGTGCACTGGAGTAGCTAGCTGCGTAACAGAGGGAACGTGCACTCTCGGAATCATACGAACCACCTTTTCTGTTCTATAGCCTGATATCGTTAACGTTGCACCTTGGTTGCGACCAGTTGAGCAACATAACTATTATTCTCACCAAGACTCCGATGGTGGTGGTGGTGGTGGTGGTGGTGGTGGTTGAAGCAGTGCTTGTGGCTTGACTGTTTGGTCCAACATTCAGTAGTGCCGCGGAACGAAACACTAATTGATTCATCCCCCCACAGTTTCTTGCGATTCAGTATTCAATTGCACTGCGTTATGTGATCGGGTGATCGAATGCAGGTTGTAGCCAACTTCCATCGGGTCAGTCCACCAGGTTAAATCCTCCGACAGACCTTGAGTGAAACTGTTATAGAGAGTCTTCCTTGGAATTCACCCTTGCCTTCGTTTTCGGGCGACCGGGGGTTTCTCTACATCTTTGATGTCTACAACCAATCAGTCATCAGAAATCCCAGCGGAGACGAGTGCCGCTTCTGCTCCGAAGCCCGTTCCGCTGGTAATGCAGATCGTCGTACGGAGAGATTTGCTCGTGGTAAGGCTTAACCAGGGTTTAAATCGCCTACTGTTCACAAGTACAGTATAGCAGGAGGGCTGGGGTGTCGGTCCACTCATGGCTCAAGTAGCCCATGCAACTTCCGCGGTGAGTTCGAATGGTTCCGTTTCATTTAATGCATGCCCGATGCCTTCCCAAGGTCCTTCATGAAACGAGAGAACGGGCTGAAACGAAGGAATACCTCGACGATCTGCTGAACATGTACAAATCCGTCTTCCAGGTAAGAGTTCGTCTCAAGGTTCATACATACCAGAGGTATAATAATTGCATGATTCAGGTGGATAACCTAGAAAAGCTAGAAAAGCTAGCTAACGCGCTGAGGTCGGCTGATCCCCCGATATCCCATCACTTGTGGATCGAGCAACCTGAGAACATTCCGACGTGTCTCGCGGTTGCTCCGAACAGGCGAAATCCAAAGGTGAAGAAGGCGTTGGATAAAAGTGGGTGTAAATTATGGAAAGGTTGAGCCGGGATTAAAGACCATAATGTCACGGAAAGTACGCCAGGAATAGATTACGGGTCACCAGGCTACCGGGCGTTCGGTGGTAGGAGTTCCTCGTGAACGTTGAAATGCCTGTTGTCAAAAGGAGTGCTTGTAAACTTCTACTTGATTTGGGGGATAAATCGAGCGTACCGGTGAACCTTCCCGATTTGTTTGCATGTTCCCTCTCCATTCTCGCCCCAAGTAACGACCCAACTCCCTACCAACCCTCCTTTCGCATCCGTGGTCTCCGCGACAGTTTCCTGGGTACCAGCAACCGCTCTCTGCTGTTGCTCCCTCCCTTCCAGCTTGACATGATCCGCCAACTCCCACTTCGCGAACGGCCTCGAAGTCTCCTTCAGGAAACTCGTGTCGTACACACTCGTAATACGTTCATGTAGACCCAAAGTCAAAGTAGTCATCTGCAATGTATGATCCTTCTCTACCCGCTGGAGTTTCGTCACGTAGGGGCTTCCACACCACGCGACGAGAGCTGTGGATACGCCACTGGTGGTTATTGCGACCCCGGCAAGGGCGAACCTGGCACCGAGGGGTATGCTTGGGGCCTCAATGACGAAGATGAATGGCGCGAGGGCAGTGGAGAGTGTTAGGGAGGATAGGGAGAAGATTTTGAGCCTTCGGAAGGTGTTTGTTAGCGGACCCCGGTACACGACCTCCGGGGTTGATGTGGGTCCGCTTGGTGAGGTAGAGAGGTTTCGGTATCGTGTCAATACAGTGGAAAGTTGAGGACTCAGCATCCGCATATGCGGCAAGCCATGTCCGCGAGGGCGAGAGATGTGCAACAGCGGGCGTTGCATGGAGGGAAGGCCGGAACGGATGGGAAAACAAGCGCCGGAACGGAGGATGCGATTTCAAAAACTAAAAAAGGTTGCTCCCTGCCAGGCTCGAACTGGCGATCTTCGGATGACTCCTGGAATCCAGGCTCACAACTGTATATGAGACCGACGCTCTACCGACTGAGCCAAGGAAGCCTCACCTGTCGCTGACGTCAAAAATCTACGATCCGTGTCAACCATGCAAACCACCGTGGGAAGAGACACCAATTGAGTCGGGAACATTGACCGGCTTTACTATATCTCCTACCGCCCGAATGATTATCAGGTCTTATTTCCAGGGCGGGCGGAACCGTTATTCAGAAAATGCGGGCGATGACCGGTACAAGGTCGTCGAAAACACCGGGCACCGCTTTGATGCCATGAGATTCCTCCCGTCCGGCATACGGTTTCATTCTTATCCTAGACCGTCATGTCGAAGCCAACCACCGAGAAGGTTGGAGGAGAGTATGGGGACATGAGGGCAGCTATCAACGTTGAGAAACTCAATGCGTATCTCGAGGCGCACGTACCAGAGGTTTCTGCGCCAGTGACTGTGAAGCAGTTCAAGGTAAGTGTCCAGGATTTTTCTCATTCGCAGCTGTTGGCTTACGGTTATATTGGATCCAGTTTGGGCAGGTACGCTCTGGCAACCGCTCTCTTACAGATTCCTGACATTCAACCACTCAGTCGAATCCAACCTACTTTCTGACAGATTCAAAGTGCGTCACTTACTATGTCCATCAGAACGGCCGTACTTATTGTCCACGTATCACAGAGGAAAGAAGTCTGTCCTGCGAAAGAAACCCGCCGGACAGCTCCTCTCATCCACAGCTCACCAAGTCGAGCGCGAGTACCGAGTCCTCAACGCTCTTCACAAATACAACATCAAACCCGGCACTCCCCCGGAGGAACGTGTACCAGTACCCCAACCGTACATCCTATGTGAAGATAATACTGTCATTGGGACTTCATTCTACATCATGGAGTTCTTAGATGGCCGGATATTCACGGACGTCTATATGCCGCAGTTAGATCCTAAGGACAGGCGAGAATGGTGTGTTCTTTTTTCCATTTGATCGGTTACGGTGCTGAAAAGAGACTAGCTGGCTCGCTGCAGTTCGTGCACTCGGCGCACTGTCTTCCCTTTCTCCGAGGGAACTCGGTCTCGAGAACTTCGGTCCACCGAACGCCTATTTTCCTCGCCAAATAAAATCTTTGACGAAGGTTTCGCTCGCGCAATCCAAGGCGGTAGATGTAGAAAGCGGGAGAACAGTTGGAAAGATCCCCGCTTTCGACGAGCTTATGGAGTGGTACGCCAAGAACCTCCCTGACGAGACGAAGACCGGTTCCCGAATCGTTCACGGAGACTATAAGCTTGACAACTTGGTCTTCCATCCAACAGAGAACCGCGTGATTGGTATTCTCGACTGGGAGTTGTGTACCCTTGGCAGTCCTGTGCGTCCTAGCACTTTTCCGGCTTTGAACACTTTTGCTCACAACTACAGCTTGCGGACTTGGCGAACCTCACCCAACCATGGGTCTTCGACCCAAAAGTCATGAGCTTCGAGATCACGTCGTCAACAACAGGGTCCGTGATCAATGGGTTTAAGAACGTAGAGGGTGTTCCAATTACAAAGGAAGAAATGGAAGAGGAGTATTGTAAAACAACTGGCTGGCCATACCCTATTACGGAGATCGTGTTTGTTCGGAGCTGGATGGTGATGCGAGTGAGTTATTGCGTTTTTTTTTTTTTGTGTAAACCAAGCTGATGGTGGGTCAGCTCGCGATTATCTCTCAGGGAATTGCCGCTCGGTACGCCAGACGGCAAGCAAGTTCTGAACAAGCGTTCATGCATATCAACATATTCCCTGTTGTCGGGCGAGTGGCAAAGGCTATACTAGAGGAAGAAGGGTCTAAGATAGGCATTAGCTCAAAGTTGTAATCTTACACGAATGTGTATGAGCCATTTCGCGATGCTTAAGATAGTGATGAGTCTTTGAGGAGACTTCTCTCCGATCATGTTGTTTATCTGTGAACGGACTCACAAGCCCGTTTAGCACAGTGGTAGTGCGTGTCACTCGTACTGAGGTGTTCTTCACCGTTTACGCAATGACAAGGTCGATCGTTCGATCCGGTCAATGGGCACTCATTTTTGCCTCTGTTCGTGCTGACTATTTAATCATAGGCGTGAAGGTTGAAGTTTGGTCAATCCGATTCCATGTTCGTTGTCAATAACCATATCTTGGTCCAATTATTCATCTCTGTGTCTCTCAGTCGATCTTCATCAAATTTTCCTGGGAAAAGGGATGGGCATGGAGCCCAACAAGTCTGCGAGTGTGGTTGTCTACAGCTAGTACCAGTATTTACGCCTCTTTTAAGAATATGCATGTATACCCCGTAACAGCCACCTATAAGCCTGTGCAAGGGCAAGGCGCAGCATAATAGATAGAGAAAAGCCACCGCGAGGTAGAACTGAAAGGCTGACGGCTTGGTTTTGAGACAGCGTCTGCCCGGGGTTTTCCACCCCCGGCAAAGATTCCCCGGGCTCCCCAATTTACAGGGACGGTGATTCTAGGAGACTACGTCGACTCAAATGTACGAGCTTGTTGGACGATTGTAGCCTGTGCTTCAGGCGGTGCCAGGTGACATTGCGCCTGAGACCTGCTGCCCCGGTGCGCTCGACTTGTATGACGTGCCACAGCGGATACGATTGATACCCATGCTCCCGTGTCTTTGTCCGGTCCCTACTAAAGGGCCTATCGTGAAATCCGTCACGGCAGACCCAGATATGAGCAGGTGCGTGGGATAGTCACGAGAGGTTTACCGTACTCGCCCGTCTCTTCTGCGCAGACGAGTGGAACATGATCTCCTGAGATTTCGGAGGGGACGAATAACATAGCCATGGGATCATTGAATGCGGTTGGAACCCAAGTAAGTCACTCAACTAGCGCTCATACCCATCCGTTGGTAACACAGTAGCGAGTGATGTCGGTGCATGATCGGGTGCCATGATAAAACGCACACTGCTCTAAAACTTCCTCAAGGGCCTCCTGCACACGTAGTGTCGATAAAGATAGAGTCGGGATGGTCGGTACATTCGCTGCCCTTCGGCTTTGAAAGGTCTAGGGTACGCAGGACACGAGGCGCTTGCTGTATTTACACACACGTAGATAGGTAGACAAAGGAGTGAACAAAATTGCCTGGACCCGGAGAGGGACGGAGAAAAGTTTCTATATAATGGGAATTGGGCCCGCCATTCTCTCTTGAACGAGTCCGGGCCCAGGTGGAGCGGTTACCCGGAAGTAGACCTAATTTGGGGACTCTGGAAAAGATGTTTCCTAGTCCGGTGTTAGTTGGATGTGCCAATCTGTTTAGGGTGGCAGGTCCGCTATGGAAATCGGCCGGGTATCATGACGCGAAGCGAATTAACGTCTGCCCTTGTTTGTAGGTGATTCATGTGACGATCTGCGGATATATAAATCGCGGCTGGCACTTGGTGGGCCTATGGCAACCACCCCGAGGCAATAGCAGCACAATTCTGTGAATATGTCATACGAAGCAGGTCCTTCTGGTATACACCTCGTCTCCTTCGCCCGCAGTGGATAGATAACCGGTTCACCGAATCGTTAGATATGCAGTTCTGGGCCAACGTCTACTCGATGGAGACCGCCTCAAATGAATGTCTTTCAAAAGTTCGGTCCATCTTGAGCTGTGCATCTACAATCACCATCGCTAGGAGCTTCCAGGGGAATGAAGCCCAGACGCTTATCGATTTTCTCAACCGAGTGAGTACATTGTCTACCGCTTGTCTCGACAACTTAAGGCGTAAACACAGATTCTTGTGCGGCCGTGCCTCGATCACGAACTCTGGCAGCGGTGTTTACGGCTCGTTTCCAAGATCTGCAAAGCACGCGGGATCATACCCACCTCTTATACTCTTCGACAGGAGCTTATATGCGTCGGGAGGATTCGTCACCACGGTGTGTTTGCAGATGTGTACGATGGAGAATACTCGGAATGCCCCGTAGCCATCAAGCGTTTCAAGATGAACGAGGGGGATCCCGACAAGATCTTCAAGGTGCTTTCGATCGATTCGATCAACCCTCGCGCGTTGTCATTTCTCAGCACTCAGCTTTTATCTAGTGCTTATGCCGAGAGATCATCAGTTGGAAATATCTGTCCCATCCGAACATCTTGCCTCTGGTGGGGGTTTCTATGTCCGTGGATCCACTCTGTCTCTGTATTCTCTCAGAGTGGATGCCCAACGGGAATGTGATGCAATACGCAAGGTCCAATCCAGAGGCAAACCGTTTGCGACTGGTGAGCCACATGCTGTTTCCTCACGATTTCACTCATTTATCATTAACGTCTAGCTTTCTGAGGTTGTGTCTGGTGTCGCCTACCTTCACGAACTAAACATTGTTCATGGTGATCTCAAAGGTGTAAGTCCGACGTCCTCGACATGCCTCCCATCCCACTGACAAGTGAACTAGGCAAACGTCCTCGTCGATGACACAGGAACCGCTCGCATTACAGACTTTGGCCTCATGACTATGGCCGATCTAAGCACGGTTCTTTTATCTGTAACTCCTATTTCCTCCGTGGGGACGTTCCGTTGGATGAGTCCGGAGCTGCTAGATCCAGAGAGCTTTGATTCCAACGGCAGTTCAACTCGCGAATCTGACTGTTATGCGCTTGGGATGGTGATATACGAGGTGAGCGAGTTGCACTCTTCATGACGGCCCCTCGCTCACCTATCCCAGGTTCTTACTGGCCTCCGACCGTTCCACCGTCTGTGCGGCTACGTACCCGTGTCCGCAGTGCTGAGAGGCGAGCGCCCAGAGAAACCCCTTGACGCCGAATCTCTAGGCCTTTCCCACGAACTTTGGGGGCTGGTGGAGTTGTGTTGGAGCGAGTCGAGTTCCACTCGACCAACCGCCGGGGAGCTGCTTGACTACCTTTCCCTTGCCTCTCGTACCTGGGTCCCCGCTCCGATATACCCCGCGATCTGGATCAATACTGAAGATATAGCCGATTCGGATTCATCTAGCTCCCTGGGAATATCCATAGCTAGTTCGACCCGCGATCATTAACTCGATAGAAGGTTCAGTTGTTCCAATTACCGTACCATTTACCTTTACTTCTGCTCTACTCCT